GTCAGGACTGTGGCCACAAGACAGGAAGTCTAACAGGGGTTTAGCCATTCCTGCTGGAAGAGCAGCCACATCCATAAGCCAGGAGTGACACAGCTAAAGGAAGCAGCCCCAGCCTGCAAACAGGATTTTACCCATCAGAGACAGAGGAGGAACTGATGCCTTGAAAAACCAGTGAGTCCCTCTCCAACAGTCTTCCGGGTGTGTCTTCCCTTGTGCCAGAGCAGCCTGAGGGATAGGGAGTGGGTAAACGCGGCACGGGGAACTGAAACTGTCTGTCCTTGTCTAGAGGACCAAGAGCAGGTAAGAGGCCAGGAATATCCTTTTCCAAGACACACCAAAGTTAGGGATTTCTAGGCTGCCAGCCTTTAATATGAACTATATGGTTATGGGATGTTGAAACTAAGCTAGATTAAGGCAAAGTCCAATTAGCTGCCTTGACATAGTTATTAGTGGTGGCATAAGTAGCGGGGGGACTTCACATTTGACAAACTCTTATTAAATATCTCTTGTGGCCCAACACTGTACAAAGGTGTATGGGTACAAAGATCAAAAACGAGCCAGTGTCTGCCTCCACAGAGCTCACAGACTAGAAGGGCTGGCAGACAGGAGGCAAATAATCACAGAGCTCAGGATGTGCAAGCTAGAGATGGGAACTCACTTGTGACTCCAGAGCACGTGGAGGGAGCAGTCTCACTGACTAGAAGAGGACTTGTTCTGAAGCTGTGTGTGCACTGAAGGACCCTAGTTAGCAAGACAGACTCCATATTGCTGCTCGACCCACCTGCCTGTCCTTTAGATGAACTCAAAAGGAGGAAGCTTAGAAACCTCCTCCCCTTAGAGAGTCTCTTAGAAACAACAATTAATCAACTATTGTTTTACAAGTGTTCTAACAGCAGGACGTTCTGCTTCTGTACCTTTTGCTTGCTTTACTAGTTCTATTGCATAGGGGGGCCTAGAAACTGTTGGCCTCAAAGGTGTATAAAACATGTTAGTCTCCCCACAGTCAGGGCTCGAGTCCGATGCTCGGCTCGGGTCCTGGCTGGTAATAAACTCCTGTGTGGATTTAATATCGGTCTCTGGTTGTTTTTTTCTCACTGGATGTAACATGCATCAGCAGGTTAGTTTGTATTCTGGATGTATGCTTACTTGGGTGGTAGAAGGAAGGGATTTGGCACCACCAGGGTACATGAGCCTCTAGCCTTGGAAGAAAATTTAGTAGAGTGACAAAAAAATTAAGTAATCAAAATTAATAATATTTTAATACATTTTCTAAAAATCAAAATTATGGAAATAATTCCATGGTGAACAAAATATCAAAAATTTCAATAAAGACAGGATCAGTGGTGAATTGTACCAGCACCCAAGGGGAAAGGAAAAAATCAGTGATACTGAGCCTACTTTTGTATTAAATTTTGATGTTTTGTTCATCATAATTTTTGGCATTATTTCTGAGTTTTAAAATATTACATAAAATATTTATTTTTATTCTGTTAAGTGAAATAAATTGTCAGTAAAAGACAAATACCATGTGATGGTACTTATCTGATGTCTTAGTCACTCCCAACACTGAGACATAATACTTGACACTTACAACTTAGAGAAGGAGAATTTTATTTTGCTTCACCATTTCAGTCCATACTTGGCAGCTCCAAGGCAGAAACAGGATGGCAGAGGGCATGGTGGAGGAAAAGGAGCTGAACTCAAGGGAGGCAGGAAGCAGAGAGAGGAGGGGACAAGAGTCACCCTTACAGATCACACCCCCAGTGACCACCTCCAACCAGTACATTCAGCTACTGAACCCAGAATGGATGAATCCACTGTTAAGTATAGCACCCCTAGATCCAATCACACATGAGGAATCCAGGGGACATTTTAGATCTAAACCATAACACAAGTGGTTCCTGGAGTAGGCAAATCTAAAGAAACAAGCAGAGTCATGGTTAGGTACCAAGAACTGGAGGGAGAAGGAGTGGTTTGGAATGCTTGTGCTTGCTCAGGGATCACTCTGAAGGTTGCCCACGGTGCTAGTATATTGTCAAGGACTGGGGAGATTGAAAAAAAACCAAAAAGTTGATTTTCCACCTCCGCTTCCATAGTTTTGTCTCACATCATTAGTTGGGACAAATGCTATGGAGATGTCATCAGTTTTAATGTGGAGGGCTATATTAAACTTAGAAATAATAATGGAAGAAGTCTGAGACTCCCTTCATGACAGGATGTATTGCTGAGGAAATGAAGAATACCGCATGTAAAAGCTTCATTTGCCCTTTTAACTACAAGGGATTGCAGTCTCAAAGGACCTTCAAACCCAAATTTTTCATCTCGTAAAAAATTCAGTCTGCAAATAAAGCCAGCAGGGGGCACTGCTACTCTTTGTAAGAACAATTTGGTTCTCCCTTGAAGACAGAGACATCTAGATTGTAAACCAAAGATGATGAAGTTTGACGTTCACAACACTGTAGCTACAGACCTAAAAAGAGAAAGGTTTATAATGGTGAAATTTATATGCCTTATTTAAGAGCTGCACAAAACTAGTTTGTTTAAGTAATCTGTTTGCCAAAAATATCCTCATTTAGTCTGAGAAAATCACCTTATGAAAAAAAAGTATGACCTGAGCATTGGAGCAATGATTTAATGTGATCCAAATTCACATGTCAGTTTAGGGTCATCTGAGCTCTTAGGGGGTCACAGGAACTTGGCTGAGTTTTCTCAGTGAATGTTGAAACAAGGAAAGGAGGTTGAAAGATGATTATGATAAATGAGTGAGGAGGGATTGATAATTTTCACTCTGAATGTCAAAGTCTGATTTTAGTTGAAGCAAGGCCTTCGGAGAGAGACTACAATCAACAGAAAGTTAGAGTACTAACTGCCTTTATCTGTAAGCACGTAGCTGGTTTATGTTTTTCTCTGGGATACTTCTCTGAACTTGAATTGCCTTGATTTTTAAAAATTGTCACACCTGAAGAGAGTTTGACCCTGACAGCCCATTATTCACCTGGACCTTTGGTTTCTCTGAGGATCATGTCATTGTAGACCGGAGTGACTAGTGACACCAGTAACCCCATGCCAGTCTGCACATCTGAAGACCTGTCTTAGTTACTTTCTCCTTACTATGACAAAACACCTGACATTGACAGTTTAAAGGAGAAGAGATTTATTTGGCTCACAATTTCTAAAGTATCAGCCCGTGTTCAGCAGGCTCAAATGTAGAAAACTGCATGATGGAAGAGCCTGGTGGAAGAAAGCTGCTCATGTCATGGCAGTAAGGAAGCAGAGAGAAAATGGAGGAGTCGGGGAGGAGATACACCCTTCCAGGTCACACCTGCAGTAACTCACCTCTTCCCACCAGACCTATCTTCTAACAGCAAGTCTGCTATAGGGCCCAATGATTCAATCACCTTTGCTCTTGGGGGACAACTAGATTTAAACCATAGTGAGGCTGTTTGGCTTCCATTGCTGAAATTGAAGCAGAGGCTCAACAAGGACTCAGCCTCTTGCAGTGAGGAGATAGCCCTTCATTTCTGGGTGGCTTGTATGCTGAAGGCTGAGGAGACTGGTCTCCTGTTCATCTTAACACAAACAGGTGCTTTGATCTGCTTCAGATAATCCTCTCTGTGTCTCTCAGAACATTTGACCTTCAACATGGAAGAGTACTATAAACACTACCTAGGAAATGGAGGAGAAGATGGAGGAGAAGACACATTCAGGATCCACTCTGAAGCAGAATGACAGAAATGAGGAGAGCAGGCATTTCCTGTGATACTCATTGAATGTCCTCATTCCTGACTTAGGTTTCTGAGTTTCTACAAACATTTCCTGGAAAACATCATTCTTAGTACCTGCTACTTTTATTCTGGGGCTGCTTTTAGCACCTCACATTCTTTCATATAGTAAAGGGGAAGATTTACTCTCCTGCTATTTCAAGCAAGCAGAGTAAGGATTTTGTTAGAAGTTGGTCCTGCAAACTTTGAAGGGTAAATGGGAGTTTAACTTGGGGTAGCTGAATTATTAATTCCCTATAAGAAAGGAAAATATTTCATGTTAGGTGTCACAGATACATGGAGCCTCCCTAATAGAAGATCTAGGAATCCTTTCTTCTCGAAAAGCTCCTGAGTATTTAGGAATTTGCCTCTCTTCTCACAAGCCCTTGGAAGCTAGGGAGCTGCCAGTGACCATGTGGAGGCTGGAGGAGGGGATTGGCTGACTGAGATCTGCACTTATGTCTTAGTCTCAACAGAAATTACCACAGGTCTCTGCTGGCTTGGGGGCCAGATTGAGGCAGCACTACAAACATCAGCTGTAGACAGATGTTGGGATATTTAGAGTAGAGGGAAGGGCACTATTCTGAAGACCTGGGTGGGACTGATTAATGTGGGTAGGGCCAATACAAATTCAACAAGCCAAGTTGGCTGCTAGCAGGAGAGCTGGTGTTTGAATACTCTGGAAGACTTCATGGAGGTCTTTAAACAGGGTAAGTCCCCATGTGTCTGGAGAGTTAGTAGGAGGTCTTCATTGAGTCTTGGATGTGGATTTGATGATCTCAAAATCTTTTCAGTGTTCTGATTCTATGGTTGAGATTAGACAGACACATCTGGCCACAAGTGAAATAAAATTGGCATCTAATGCAACGTTTTATGTTCTGTATCTTTAGTTCCTGCCTGTTTCTAAATGGCAGCTAATCTGTTGTATGCTACAAGGTTGATCCGGTCCTGTCTTTATTTCAAAACCTAAGTAGAATTGATTCTCTTCATCTTGGCTTTATTTTTCTACCTCCACAGAAAAACATTTATTTTTGAATCTCTAGTAAAGACCCACAGGAAATGGCCTGAGAAAATGTACTATTCAAGGATATTACATTCAAGGATATTAGAGTTCATTCATTTAAATCCCCACCCACAATTTCATCAACATGTTTGTTTTCATGTTAACATTTAAAATTCTAAATCGAGTCAAAAATCCAACAGATGTCTTACAGAAACTGGTTTTTTTTTTCTTTGTAGGTGCTTCTTCCTTGGAACAAGAGGATCTCATGATTTGACAGAATATGTTTTGAATACCCAAGGAGGGCCTCCTTTTGAAGGCTTACACTGCAGCGTCTCTCAAGATTTGAGTTTACTCAGAAAAGAAAGGTGAACTGCATTTGTTCCAAGTAAAATACACATCTGTATTATTCACTATTTCACCCCCGTTCCATTACAAACAAATATTGACCTTGTTCTTCTGATGTGAAGCCAGAGGGGGTGTGAAATATAGCAAGGAGGACAGTCTGATGCAGGAACACAGACATTCCAAGCAACAGAAACACAATATTTAAAAGGAGTAGAGAAGGGTCCCAAGTTGATCTTTCTAATTCATACTCTGCAGCTGACCTTGGGGAAGGTAACTCAATAGTTATCAGTCACTTTGGGAAACTTGCCATGTTATTTCTGATTGCCAGTTAGATCTTTTCCCCCTAGGATCTATTTCTTGGAATTCCCCGTTTCTTTCTTTTAGCCTTAAGAACTTTTCTTGAGAATTGTGTGTGTGTGTGTGTGTGTGTGTGTGTGTGTGTATGTGAACTTTTGACCTGAATACTAGAAACTAATTTTCATTTGGATACTGAGCATGTTTCTCCTTTCAGTGGGTTTGCAAGCTACTCCCTATTTGTGATTTCTCAGCATGATATCCTAGGAAAAAACTTGAATGGTGGAGAAACCTGTTTAGCACTACATTAAAAGGGGAACACAGATTGGGAGAAGATAATCAAGGTGTGGGATTTTGATGTCAAATGATATCCATACCCAATGTTCTCACTTGTAAAATGGAGTAAGAAGAGGATTAAATGAGATAAGGCACTTGCTTCCCCTACAATGTAATAATATGTATTCTCCTAAAAATGAAGGCATTATAGAATTTTGTGCAATAAAAATTACATGATTACAGGAAAAATCAATTTGGGTGGGACACTCAATACCTTAAAGTAGAAATCTAGCAATTGTTGTTTTCCTATTTTTTTCTTTTATTAAGAGGCTGTATATATGACCCGACATGAGCTGGAAGGCTATGAGGTGCTGGATGTTCTATTTGTCACTGGGGTTGACACTTTCAATCCAGGATGGTACCCTTCAGTCAGAGTCTAGAGGACAGCTATGGCTTGTTCAGCTCTGTGGTCAGCCTCTGAAGTTCATCTCTATCTGTGGCACCATCATGATTTACCACCTCTCCTGCTTTTTCAAGAGACTTTGCAGCCCTCACAGTTCTTGTTAAATAGCTTTATTTTTGCTCCATTGTAACTGATGAATTCTCTTAGGCCTTTGAATTCTCACAATAAGTCAAATTCTCCTTGTTTCTTTCCTAAATATTTTATTGTTTTAAATTTTGCAATATTTATAGCTTTCTCTTCTCATTTGCTACTCAGATTCATTAACTCAGGTTGCTTATTCATTTTTGAGTTGTTGTAGTAGATAATTTTACGAAGAAAATGACACAAATGTGGGAGGACATACAGGGCAATACATGTCAGTCAAGGAAGGTAAGAGAGAGAAGTGGAGGGGGTCAGTGCATTCAAGGTCTTGAAGGTCTTGCATTTACTTGATTCTTTAGATGGTATGTCATAGTCAGCTTATGAAAAATTGCATATGAGCTATTGTGACTTGGAAGTGTACCCCTTATTTATCCACTTCATATGAATAAATTCACACACGACCAACAGATTTTGTAACTGAGACTATACTTTAAACATGCTCATGATCATACCAGACACATAACATAGTAAATACTCAATAAATGTCAACAAACAGCATATAAATGAAGAACTTTTGAAAATTAATAGCTCAGGTGCTTTCAACAGAATGGTAAACACAGCTATACCTTCCATGGCATAGTGAGGAAAGACAGGGAAATCTCTGTGGAATGAAGTTCATTGATGCACATGAGTCCTGGCTCTGAACCCTGGCTTTGCCACATACTAGCAATGTGCCTGCAAACAAATTGCTCCACAGTCTTAACTGCCTGCTTTCATATCTACAAAATGGAGCTATTAAAATCTACCTTTCTTTTATATCTGCAATAGGAATTCCTACCTGTGACTTCTAAATGAGAAAGTGAATGAGAGGCTCTTTGAAAACTATAAAGCACAGTGGAAATATTCAGTATTAATACCATTGTGGAGCTAAAAGGAAGGTGAAAATTGTTTGCAGGTGTAAAAAGGACATTAACCTCCTACTCATAGACATGTCTCATTTGCTTTCTCATTTCCACCTTAATGGATAGCCAACCACATGCCCTGTGTAGTTTAGTAGACACTGCACAATTTCTCTATGTGTGTCTGTTCACTTTTGTTTGTGTCAACAAATCTCTACCTAGGGCCCGTCTTAAGCTAAAGCAGGACAGAGTTGATGAAGCAATATCAGCTGTGCCTCTTCTTCCCAAAACTCTACCCTGTGAGATTATGGATAATGCCTCAAATTCCTCTAGGAGTTTTTATTGTTTGTATTTGTTTTAGTTTTTAATTTGAATAGAAGTGCTGGTAAGGTGGTCATAAAGCAGTGTCTTCTGCACTGTCACAGGGAACACTCACACTGAGGTTTCCACATTTTAAGGAAGCCTTAGCCAAGTTGAAAGGCTATGTGAGGTTCTCTAGTTGAAAGTCCCACCTGAGCTTTACATCCCAGAACTGGTGCCAGACATGTAGGTGAAGGTATTTCTTGATCATGCCTGTCCCAGCTGTCAAGTTACTACCAGTGTAGGAGTCTTCCTAGCTGAGGTCATAGAAATCATGGAAAAAAAGATTAGTATACCTCTTGTGCTCTATGTAAATTTTTGAATCACAGAATCTATCAGCATAGATGAGTGTTTGCTTCATACCCCTAATTTTGGGGTGGTTTATTATATAGCAATATTAATCAGAAGGCAACCACAAATATGGACCTCAAAAAAAGATTACCCTATTTTCTCAACGTGTTAATCTCATCCCAAACAACAGACAGATTTCAAGTTGCATGCATATAAAATAAATAAAATATCCTTGGTTATCAATTAATAAAAATGATAATTGAGTCATGTTGTAAAGCATTTATATCTGCAGCTAGGTGTGAACAAAAGTTTGAGGTAGCTATTTAAAAAGGACTCCAGTGCCCAACCTTAGACCATTCGGTCACCCTGTCCAGGTGTGAGTACCTGCAAATTAATGTTCAAAAGTCTCTGGGCCACTCAGAGGTATGCCCTGGCTAGGAAATATTTGGTCAGAAATTCTACAAGAGCCATAAATATCAACATGTGGTTGGTGCCAGGCTGATAAATTATTGATGAGAATGCACAATGTGAATGTATGAACCTTAAGCATGGATTAAAAGTTGAAATTGGCCTTGAACTCAAGTCTTTCAAAGCATGTTTCAAATATGTTAACACATTACCAATTCTGCATGATTACTTGAGTAGGAAGGTCAGAGCATGGCATAATTTGGACATGTTTAATTTTCACATGTATTCATTGTCCCTAATGAATTAATTTAGAGTGTTATGTTTTAAAGGCTAATGGGCTCACAGTCATCAAAAGTGAATTAGGAAGCTCTAAAAAAGATTTTGAAAAATAATATGTTTTGAAACTGAGTCAACAGGGGCCAAACATTTAGCTCAGCGGAGCCGCCACTGCCTGGCAAGTGCAAGGTCCTGAGTTCGATTTCCAGTACTGTAAAAAAAAAAAAAGAAAGAAATCCAATCAGCACAGAGTATCAGTATCCCATTTGGAATTTTTCTGAGGCTCAAATACACAGAATATTACAAGTTGGTGTCACCTCTAAGACTCTTACAAGCTCCATCTTGAGCTTTTTCTCTCCATTTGGCAAGCATGGCTGGGCACATGGAGGCCATTCCCAGCCACACGTGGTCCTTGTTAGCACTTCATTGCTCTGCATCACAAAGTCTAATACTGAGTTGATTAATTGGATGCTATCAGCAGCCTCGGAGTTGACTTAGTGAGAACGTGAGACCACTAAATGAAGGCTGAAGGTGCTATGGTGTAGCATAAAAGTTCTGTTTACAGTACTTCTGTTTTATGGTGACTAGAGTTGAACGTGTGGACTTTTCCCAGAGTAGTAGGTGCCTGTTTAATGATTCCCTATGCTTAATATAATTGGGAAACACCTTCACCATTTAAAAATCCACGTTTTGAGAATTTTTAGAGTCTGTCACAAAAAGGTAAATGCTGACTTTATTTTCTTTGAGTGGTGAGTGGAGAGCTGAAAAAAGCTAGTGTGAACTCCCATTTTTGCCACCTTTACCAACAATTTGACAGTTGGTATAGATTGTGAAAAAAAGTTTAGAATTCAGCAAGTTTTGAGAACTTTATATGAAGGAGTACTTCAGGGAGCATATATTATTTTAAAAATGTCTGGAATAGGGCTGGGGATTTAGCTCAGTTGTTTCGCTGCCTGCTGTGCAAGCGCAAGGACCCGAGTTCGATCCCAGCTACAAAAAAAAAAAAAAATGCCTGGTATAAAAAGGGAAATTAGATTTTCCAGTTCATGGGGGGAAAAAGTGATTAGATTGCAGTGTTCTGGAGAAACTCTCTGAATATTTAAATATATTAATGTGTAGTAGTGGATTACATTTGAGCAGTCCCCTGTGAACAAAACAAAACTGGATATTGTTTGGAGATATATGCCAAGCAGCAGCCAGCTGTATTTGGGGATGCATGTGGATATGATCCTAGCTGTGTACATGGGATGTTTTAGACACTTGGGGGTTTATGTGCTTCTGGCTCCAGTAGGTGATAAATTGGGCCTCAGATGGGCCACAGGCTTGTGGGACTAGGTCCTAAGATGCTGTGAAAGTGAAAAAGTACCTGAATCTTGTATTCTCCCCACTGCTAGATAAGAGTATCAAGAGTATCAATACCACCATAAGGAGGAGCAAAAATCTTACTTTTTAAAATGTATGAGGTATACATACAATACATTGTAGGGAACAGGGGAAGAGGACGTTACCAGAACCTCTGCAGTGAGTCCTGGTCTCCTGCGAGCCATGGGAGCACACGATGAATTACAGGAAAGGTAGAAAAATGAGACTGAGAAGAAGCTGAGCTTTGGGTCTGATCAGTGCTGCTCAGGGCAGCAAAGACAAAAGCCCCCAGATTACTGCACCTTTTATT